CCCAGCCGCTGCTGTTGTACCTCGGTGTTCTCGTACCTCGGTACCTTCGGTGGTCTGGACGGTCAGTGTCAGCGTCGTCCGGTCAGGCTCGTCCTGGCGCGCTCCTGGCAGGACCTCTACTCCGTCAGTGATGAGAAACTCTCGGCTGCGTGCGTAACAATCGGTGCTCCCTTTATCTAGAGTGTTAGACCCCGTGCACTTGGGTCAACCCAGGAGATCTCTGAGAGGCCCCGGAAACGACACATGCAGCAAGGTTTGAAATCAATCAAGCAGGTTTATTGTCAAATGCGAAGCTCTACCAGTCGGTAACAGAGATCAGTCCAGTGTTACCCACTGGGCACTATGGCACGTTGACAAGGGACCAACACCGGGCAGGCCTATTGCCGTATAACAGATATTACCAGCACTTAGTCAAAGTGAAGCTACTGTGCACTCTGTAAGTTCAGGCAATGACACCTGCCGTTCAGGCACCTAGTGCACCCCCCCCCCAGGTCGGCCGGAGAGCACCCTCTGCGGTGTCCTTTTATAGACAGGTACAAACCACTTACATCACTTCTTTACGTACCACGTTGCCACCCTCTGTTGCCTAGTTACCACCCGTCACCTTACGGAAGGGGGCTCACTTACTATCCTTCATGCTGCCAGTCTCGACCCGGTCCTGAGCCTAGGTCGGTCTGTGCATTAGTTCTTAGGGTGTTTTTGTACCAAGACATTTCTTATTAAGATGTTCCGTTGCTCCCCTTTGGCTCAGTCTGGACCCAGCGCCTCCCTGTGTCCTGCCATGCTCCACCTGACTTACACAATCGCACAGTTATCCGTAAGGCCTCTTTCTGGGCTCCTGTTACTGAACCAAAGTCTTGCTCACTAGATTGCAGGCCTGTTGCTGTTTTCGTGTTGCAGGCCTTAGGCCTGCTGACTCCACGTTACTGACCCTCAACTTACTACAGCTGCCACCTCTGCCCAGCCGTTGCAGACCCCGCGGGGTGTAGCGTGACCCCTTGGCCAGGGACCCCCAGCCTCCCTCTAGCTGGCAGCTGGGTCTCGCCAGCTCCCTGCCAGCTTGAAGACCAGCTGGGCAGGCGGCCGAAGCAGCACTGCTCCCCATGCCTGCCTGGCTGGGCTGCGAGGGCCCCCCGTGCAGGAACGGGGCCGGGCTGTAACTCTGCTGCTGTGGGCCGGCCCCAGAGGAGGGCTCTGGAGCCGTGCGCCGGCTAGGAGAGAGTGCCAGGGACAGCAGAGTGGATGTGCCAGTGCTCCGCTCCTGGGAGGAGGCAGGATGCCAGGCCAGATGGGCTCACAGCGTCTCTGTTCCTGGCTGGAATCTTCAGCTGCTTTGGAAGGCCCATGGGGCAGGCAGCTGGGCCCAGAGCCTGCCAGGTCCGTGCATGGGGGGTGGCGCCCTGC